AAATTGGAACACAGGTGTGAGATGGAAGTTTTTTTATCAGATGACCCCCTGCCCCCCAGGTAAATCTTCCTCATCTGAAAATGACCCCACAGCAAAATGGCCAGCACTTCCTCACAGGTAATACACAACCAGCCTTTTAGTACTGTACATGTAGACCTACTCAGAGCTAGATTATATGTAGCTCAGTCGGCAGAGCGCTTGACTGCAGAGCGGGAGGTTGGAGGTTCGGTTTCCGGGCCAGATCAATACTCAGGGTCTTAAAATAACTGAGAAATGAAGGTACTCCTTTTGCCCTGCAAACGGCTAGACCTTCATGTGGCAGTCCACATAAAATGGCAGTCCCGTCTCCAGTAGGAGACGTAAAAATGGTGTCCCCAATTAGTACTCTATACAGTGACAGTCAAATAAAATGCATTAAAAAAAACATCGTGTTTAAGTATGGCACTTTCAACAGTGTCGACATGCAATAACACTCACTCCAGTCCACCCTCTTATACCTCAAGAACTGACCTACACTGTGTAAACAAGGCCTAATTCATGCAACAACAAACTTCCTCAAGATCGTCAGCTCTTAAAATAGTTTCTTTTTCTGCGTTTACAGCCTTAAAATTGCTGCACAGACTAAGATTTATCGTTTTATCTTACCTGTAACAACGTCTGATCGAATTCAAGACTTTAGAGTTTTATCCTCTTCAAACGCGATTTCAAAAGGGCACCTTATACTTAAGCAGTTAAATGATGCAGACATTCAACAACAAACCACCAAACTGAATAAGGAAGCCAAAGTCCCAGTGTTCTTGCAGATTATCACTATTTTACACGGGCGCAACAACCGGCGCCATCTTGATTTCTTTTTGGCCCCAGATTACTCTCTGTCAAATGTGTTTAAACGTACGTCATGTATGAGCGCATAGAGTGAAGGTCCGGTCTGGCTGTGCCTATGCAGATGCAGTTTGATTTTGTCTGTTACAATTTATTAGTTAATTTATCTTTAAAACTTTGACGTGCTAGGATGACGGATGTGTTCCAATTTCTATTGCCAAATGACCCTACTCCAGGAGTACCCGATTGCCATACGCAGTTTTAGGGCCGGCGGGGTGGGGTGGGAAGGGGGGGTGGGGTAGTGGAATACCAAAATACCCAAAATAAACCTTCCAATATACCAAAAATTATACTAAAACTTGTGTAAAATACCAAAATTAAGAAAACTATGGTATATTAATATCCAAAATTTTATACCCAATTTTAAGCATAAACAGGATGGGCTCCTGGCATAAAAATACCGTATTAATGAAATTAAATACCCCAACTGTATACGACCCTGGCCAACGCTGCAGAGTTCCTGTCCTGCGCCTTTTAAGACATAAATTCCCTGTGAACAAATTATATCATATTGAGCATTTCACTCTTTTGAGAAGTACGAAGACGCAGTCATAGGAGGCAGTGTAGCCGAGTGGTTCTGAATCATCCCCAGTCCTCTTCATAGCGCGCACGGCGGGAGCAGAGGGTGATGGGAAGAGAGAGGAGAACTGACTCTCTCCCTTGCTTACTTCCTTTCCATCACAACTTGCGCACCACTAGGGAGAGGTTTCATGAGAGACGACTGGGCAGGCTCTCGGACAGCGGCGGCAGCCGTGGTTTTTTTTTTTTTTTACTACATCTTAATTGCGTTGGTAGCATCCTGGAGATGCTTGGCTCCTGAGTATACGTAGTCGATGAGCTCGAACTTGTTTGAATAAATTATTCAAAATGGCAGCCACTCGACCAGCAAGGGGATTAGACAGGCCGGGACCTGGATATCTACCGCGTGCCCTGAGTTAATGAGCTTGGACTTGGTTAACCTGAGATTAGGCCCAATTTTAGCAACTTCTCGTGGAATTTTTTCACCAAGGAAAAACGAAAGTAGAGCCTAACCTCAGGTTCAAAATGGCGGCCTCCTAAGGAGGCTGGACAAGTCTGGTAAAACGACGTTGGGTGGGATAAACCGGATATCGGAGTAATGAGATGCAGTGAATGTAGAAACACGAGAGGGAGAATAGATCACTTTACAGTAATGGATGGAAACGAGGCTGGAGTGACCTTGTTTTGTCTCGCAACCCTTTCTGCTTTCTTATGTAAAGCATGTTGATCTTATGCTAGTTAGTATTTTTCAAGCATAATTTCCATAAGAAAACAAAGGAGGTCAACATGGTCAACCTCAGCTTTGCTTTCACTCGAACGCTAGGGTAATAAGCAAACAATTATAAAGTGGTCTATTGGATGACGTAAAAATATATGTTACTCAGGTTATTGTTCATGTTTTTATTAATGTTTATTTTTTTTAGGATTTTAATTGGTAGATTGAAGGCTGAATAAACTGATCTTTGGCCTAAAACGCCAAGCAAATTAAACTGTCAAACTGATAAAAACATTTCTATATTTTGTTTATGTTTTACAAAGATGTAAACGGATACAAGAAAACAACTATAATGCTCGCAAAAAAAACAAACATTCAAAGCTAAAAAGAAAAAAACAGGGAATTGCTACGTACGAAGAGAAAAAGACTAAAGAAATTAAAGTTATTAATTCTTGACTTTGTATTCAAGTGAAACTAATAAACATACATTGTCTTTCGAGTCGATATTAGCTCCAAAAGCGCTTTTTAAGTTTCAGAGACCTCAAAGGACAAGAAACAAAGCATCCGATTTCAAATGTTACAAAATAGAAGGCTTACAAGATATTATACAAACACCAGTGGCCCGGTTCTTCAGAAGATCATGGCTTAGAAACCCAGGATGAAGCTGAATTTTCAGCTATGTTTTCTTGTCTAAAAACTTGTAACTCAAGCGTACTAAATACTGCTTGGCCTTTAATCCGAGATACGGTAATGATACCACAAATGTCACTCTAAGCAGTACATATAGGAAGGTAACATACAAAGACGAAACAAATTGATTTTAATAATCCTGGATTATAAGCCTTTCAGGAACCGGGCCTACCAGTCCACTCAGTATAGATCATAGACATTCATCCTAATACTACTAAACAACCCTTCAGAGTTTTGCTTTCTTGTACAGTTAGGGCTATTTTAAATATACAATTAAAAACGAAGTGGATTAAGGTCATAAAAAAAAACAAAATAAAAAAATTCAGCGATATAACCTGTTTCCTCTGGCTCCTGTAATCTGCACTCTGTTAAAGACCCAAATTTTACGAAAGGAACAAATTATTGTGCTCATTTTTTTGTTAAAGCTAACTTGGTTTAAATAACGTAAAAAGTAATTCAGGGCACGTCCAGCTGAGTTAGTAGTCATTGAATAAATTCAGATTTCCACCCTCATTTAGATACAGCCTTCTCCTCATGCAGGAGCTTCGTTTTTCGCACAGAGGCGAGCTAACACGCGATTGACACGCGAGTGACTGGTGATGAAGCACAAGGGATCATGGGAAGAAGAAAAGCCCGTTTTCTCCTTCCCACCTTCCTTTGCGCGCAAATGTTCATAAAGCCTATCCGACCCCGTACCTATATATATATGCACCTATCATTGATCTGAACAACACCACAGTTCGTAAATAGGGACTTTAAGATACCACGAGGGCGACGACAAGGAGAACATCAAAAAAGGCAATAGGTTGAATAGGCAAGGCAACAACTCTGCGAGTGCATCACGATTTTTTGTAATTTCTTAATTTGCCATCACTGCACTACTACGAAAGTAAAATGCCTAATATCCCGTTTTATGGAGGACGTAAACAAGCGACGGCTAAATTTTATTTCTATTTTTGAACTTGAATATGGTTCTTTTGATTTCGGTTCAAAAAGAGTTCGCTTGCATTTCTCAAAGTAAATGAGTTCGCGATAAAGATTGAAAGAACGCAAATTCACTTTTCAAGCGTTTGGTTCTCGTTGCCGTCAATGTCGTGGCATCTTAAAGTCCCTATAATTTTTCAATTAATAATATTATCCCATACAATGCAACAGCTTATGCATTAGAACTCTGCATAACCACTTGTGGTCCTAATTCGTCCAAGTCAAGATAGACTTTATTAGAAAATCCATTTTGACAACTTTCCGAGTCTGGGTGTTGTCTTTTCCTCCTATAAAAAAGAGAATGAAGGAATTGCAGGGTATGTAGGGTTAGTTCAGTTGTAAACTGTATGTATATCGTAATTGTGACTTCCCGTTTGTCCTTATCTTCTCTACCGGGGTACAGTAACGTGGTCCGAACTCATGTCTCAGCCATATTTGTTTTTGCCTCGTTCAATTGTTATTGAAGTGAAAAACAAAAACCTGTTTATTTTTACGATCATTATCATCATCATTATTATAACTATTATTATTATTACTATTTTCAACAATCTTCTTTTCGTTTAGCATTTTTATATTTTCGAACTGACAAAACTCTTTCACGAACAATAGCATCGTTAGTTACTAGTTTTCCTTTCTTCTTACCACCTTAAATTATCAGTGTAAAAAAATATCAATAAATGGCAGTAGTTGGCTGCTACAATGCTTGAAATGTGTAACACTTAAGGTCTTAAAATTTTCCCCTATATTCACTAAGAGAGAGAGAGAGAATGAAATAAATTTTATCTGTCAACTCACATCATGAAAACTCCGCAAAGCACCAGTGCAATAATGACCACAACTGATCCACCAGCTATTAGAGCAATGACCATTGGCTTGGAAAGTACGCTTTGCTTTTTTGAGTTTGTCTTGAGTTGATCTGAGAAGAGAGAAAGCCAGTAAAAGAAAATCTTTAAATGAAGCTAACACTACTAACCCTTAATTTGCAAATAATCTCTTTAACCTTCCTGTGACACTCTGCCTGTACAGTACCAGTACAAAAATGCGCAGACAACCATCTTTTCCAGATGGATTTGTCGACACGTGATGACGAGTTGAGAGTTAATTCAATCGAACACTCTCACTTGTTCACGTGAAAAATTGACTTAATGCTATTCTAATTAATTAAGGTATAAGCTCACTTTAAGATAAGAGCAAATACAGTTTCAAACGTAATCCCACCTTGGCAGTCTTGCAATTTCTTTGATGCGAGCTGACCGGAAGTTGATGTTCCAGCGGGACATGATTTACAGGAATTCTGGGCCTCTTGATCCTGATATTGGTTTACTGCGCATGCTTGACAGCTTGTGCCATCGAAAAAGTATCCAATAGGACAGTTAACTAGATAAAAAAAGTCAATATCAGTCATTTTTACTTACTTCAACCATAAAACATAGCGACACACACTCGATGCTAGCTAACTAGGCGCTTCCTACATGTATCTCCTAGAAAATAAAAGTTTACTTGAAGTTTGTTATGGGTCACTAAGCATCGTCAAGAATCCCTGCCTTATTATTAAAGTCAAAGTATGTGGTTCCTTCCGTCTTTTCGTTAGGAAAACTTTAATTACTTGTAACTGTGGACCGATTATATTGACAGAATCACTTCCCAGTTTGGAGTTCTCGATAACATTTTCTTGGGAAGTCTAGGGACAAAAATTTGGGATACAGTCAACTCCTTTTATAGCGGACACTGTAGGGACCTCGAGGTGGTGTCCTCATTAGCGAGAGTCCGTAATAGCGGGAGTTTATTTCAGTCAAACGTCTGCAACTTGTTTTTTCCGGGGATTTAGCTGCTGTCCGTATTATCGGGGTGTCCGTTATAGCGGGGTGTCCGCAAGGCGAGAGTTGACTGTATGTCGAAAATATTTTGCATGAGGCGTCAAATATGAGCCACTGGCGGCTGAAAGATAGTAAAGAACTCAACAGCCGCCGAAGTAACTGAATCAAAAAAGACTTATCATTTGGACCATGATGCCCTTACCACACATCACTCCACTCTGTACTTGCCCCTCTTCACAAACCAGACGAGAGAGCTGAAATTGTGGAGGTTTTGAAGGATCTGTACGTATAACCATTCCACTGACATTCAAAGTCATATCGACTTTGCTCAGAACAGTTAGTACTTCCTTCGAAATTTGGACGGATGTCTGGTTTATATCCACAGATGTGTTGAGATCGCCAGATAATGGAATTTGTAACGAAAAGCTAACAGTCAAAGGAATTGTCCCCGTATTCTGGTTACTAGTCGTATCTCTTTTTCGACGAGTTGTAACGCCACATTCGACCTCGACGTTTTGAATATTACACTGAGAGACGTCACTACAAGCTCCAGCTTGACCAAACGGTGATTTCTTTAAAAGTTCTATGAAGTTCCTTGCGATCTCTTCCCTCATTGTTTCTCCGCCGCAACTGTCAGTGAGATAGTGGTACTGACCGTTCACCAAAGCACTTTTGGGTATGTGTGTCTCTATTATGAAGAAAAAGAATCAAAAAAATTACTAGGTTACGATGAGGTGGGGCACCACAGTGACCACTAACCGTCCAATCAGAATATGTCAAGTCTCCTTCCCAACAAAGACATGCGTTAGCTAATCAATAACGAGAACTATTCGAATGTCTTTGGTTACCCTCGTTGAGTAAACGGTATTCAGATGTTAATTGCTTACCTGTAACGTAGGCACCTTTATGGAAAGCAAATACCACGTTTAAAGGGAACCTCCACTCTTACTACAGAATAAGTTTAAATCGAATAAAATTATGTTGACAAACAAATTTGTTCGAAATTTGTCCTTAAAAAGAAGTGTTTATATCAGGAAAAGTGAATTTTAAAATCGTTTATTTTCACTTTCAAATTTCGCGGGCGCCGCCATCTTGAATAATTGTGACGTGTTACGGTTGCTCTATTGTTCTGACACAAAGAGCTTTTGTTTAATAACAATAGGGCAACCGTAACACTTCACAATTATTCAATTATTCGACGTTCGCAAAATTTGAAAACAAAAATAGGCGAATCTAAAAGTTATTTCTTTCGGATACAAACGCTTTCTTTAAAAATATTTTGGATTGACTTGACTGTAACAGTTATTTCCTGTGATTTAAAGTTATCTTTTTGTTGAAGTGGAGGTTCCCTTTAAGCTAGGGTCCTTAATTTTTGTAGGTTTTAAGCCTATCAGTTTTGCGATAAGACTAAAGTTGCAGGGTGATATTGCTTCACGTTGATCTTTTTTGTCCTTACAAGGCAAGAAACGACCAAAAAATGGCGCGGAATGGCGCGCACAAGTAGATTTTTCAACGAATTTGGAATTTCCGGTTTCCCCTGTGTAAATGGTAAGTACCCCTAAAGTTGGTCCCTGCTGTTGTCCAGTCTCCGATCACAACGGTCAAGTCCATCTTAAATTAAAGAAAGTTGACTCTCGTATTGCATTTCCTTACTTGAGCAATCAGGAAGGGATGGTTTTTTTCCTTTGCTGTTCCCTTCATGAATCCATTCTCCAGTAGTAGGACCACAGAAATATACGGGATCTGGATGGTTCGCAAATCCATATCCGTTATTACAATGCACCGTGCACATAATCCCAGCCATCCACGTTTCACACGCTTTGGCTCCATTCAGAGGCGGCGCAAGCTCTTCACATGGTGAATCTTGATAATAAATAATGATAATTATTGATTAATGATATGACTGATACCATTCGTTAGTTTTAGAGAAAAGTGTTATGGTAGACTACGAGCAGTCTCTCTTTTTTCTGTAGTCCGTCGAGCAAAACGCGAGACACTCAAATGGCCATGCGCGTGACTGATGACGCGAGACGGGTTCGCGCGTCGCTCCCGCGCGCGTGCATTGCTCTCACCAAATCTGAAGAAAAATAGAGACTGCTCGCAGTCTAGTGTTGTGGCTTAACTGTTCTCTCTTTCGAGTGAGCTATATATGTAGATGTGAGGCGCCAAAAAGTAAGCTTATTTAGCGTTAGCCTTAGTGCACTTACGTTGTTTTTATATTAAACGGGATAAGACTCGTCCCTCTGGACGGGAACCGACGTGTACAATTGGCCAAGCAGAGTTCATAAGAGACGCCACATTATTAACTAAAGAACTTCTTAAATGTGGACGCAATTCAAATCATTTGCAAGCCGAGTATAGGTGGAATCATGTATCAGAGTGTACGAGCTGTTAAGGTCAGATTTAGAGTAGTTATGGGATTCAGTGCAGGTTTGAAACGAGGCCGGGAAGGAAAAGTTATATACTTTGGTTAAAAATAGAAACAAGGTTATCCAAAAACACATAGCCGGATTTTCTCCGAATATCAACCCCCTCCCCATCCCACCTGATCTATAGCCTTCAAATCGATCCAACCCCTTAAAACTTACTGAAAAAGGCATAACCTACCAGCTATAGTGAAAAGGAATCTACAGTACGCAGCATTTCCTGCCCTGTCTAATGCCTTGTAAGTAACGTTATACTCTCCCCAGGTCATCTCACTTCCATTTTGAATATTTGTTGAGAAAAGCTCCACACCCACGTTATCTGTGACATTAACTGACGGCAGGACGAGCTTGTGCCATCTGGCTGTTGATATAATCTTGGTATCACCAGGACAGGGATCAATCTTGGGCGGCTCAAGATCTGTTCATGAAAATATATGACGTTTGGACAATATAATCAACTCTTAACGACTCACCACTGCGGTGGAAACCCAAAGGGTGGAGCCAGAAAATTTTGCTAATCAAACATGAAGTTACGTTTTCACATGACGTGACGTCTGCCATATTGGGGTTTCTTTACGTAGACCCTTGTTGTCGTGCAGGACATGTGACGTGCATTCGTTTAGTACCCAGTCTTTTGCGTAAAGTGTTTTTGAAAAACAATTTTGTCCAGATTTCATCACGTCTTGTGAGAGGCAACGCGCAACGCAAGTTTCATTGTTAAGCTACAAGATGAAAGTTGGTGATCATTTTGAGAAAAAAATATTCCCGTCAAACCTTTATATGCTTAAAAGGGTTTGGACCCTTATAACCCTCCCCCAGACCCCAGACCACAGGCCTGGTTTTAACTTCATCTATTATAGCCCCGGCCTTACACCACGAAAAAAACAAAAAATTATGATGATCTTTATTGAGATAACTTTTTCATACAAGTATAGTTTCCAAAGTGTGAACAAAAGAAAGCAACAGCACCAGTAGTCTTCAGTGGTGACACAAATTTGATCTAACAGGCACAAAATCTGTTTAACTAATTTCACCTTTAACTAGAATGGAGAAATGACAGTCCCGTTTTAGCCCTTCTAGATCAGTGACATCGTATCTGATTACGTTTGTGCCAACATTCATCCGCTGTGGAGGAAGTACGCCACTAAGATTCAAGAATCCTTTAGAGTTGTCGGTAGGGACTGGAACCTGCCACGTGACTATTGCGTATGATTTCTCAGCGACTGTGGGAGTCTCCATGTTAGGTGGGCATTGAATGCTGGGAGGTTGAATATCTGTGGTTAGAAATTAAATCAAAAATACATAGTTATTTTCAAAGACTGGGTAAACAGGTTTGCTCAAGTGTATGTCATTAAGTAGTTAGTGCCAGTACAATTTGAGGATCAAGCAGTAAAGCAAAGGAGGAACTCCAAGACTCGACATTTAAGGTGTCTGAACACCGTTTTGGCAATTCATGAGTATGTGTCCTTTGCCAAATCATGGCAGGCGAAAGGCTGCAGCTCACAAGCTGAAACTTTGCAAGTGAAAAATACACTGATAAAAAGTTTTGATTGACAGGTAAAATTTGACGTTTTTGTAGTTTCCATGGCAACATAAACGATTGAATACAGCCTTAAAATTCCACTTTTCCTCAGTTTACATAAAATTCGCTCATTAGATTTTCCTATAAACTTGCACACCGCTTACTATAATTAATCATTACCATTTGAAACTTATTTGACCAAATTTTAACAGACGGGATTTTAGATAATCAATAATATAATGGTACTGTAATTATTAAATGTGTCACAAAATTCGTCTGTTCAACTTCCATTTTAAAGTTCTCATTATTTAAAATACAATAAAAGTAAAAACTCTGCCAAATATCACAAAATTTTAATGTGTAGATTTGAGAAATCGTCTTCTGTGTACCATTGCTTTTTGGCCGCCATGTTTGTTTGTCTAATTTAAAACACGGGCCTTCACGCTAGTTACCGCTGACCGCCCACAAAACTGTGTTCAGCCACCTTAAGGAAATGCAATTTTAGTTCAACAGTATGTTTTGGTACCTACCTTTACAGGTAATATTGCTAATGTTTCCACTCCAGGAGCCATTTGCCAGGCAAGATACTTGCGTGGGACCATCAAGTCCATAACCATTTGAGACATCACATTGTAGAAAACACTGTGTCTTATAACTTACTCCCCCAGAACGAGTGCAGGGAGCGGGGCTGATTTTTCCGTTGTCGAGAGCTTTGATGGATGGGCACTTAACAACTGAATAAAAAATAATTCCAAGAAATAATTTTCAATCACTGTATACAACATTACCAGGCTGTTTGGCGTTTATTTGGCCGTTTATTGTACCACGAAAGAAGCTAACTAACTAAAGAAAAAAGTATTTCTTTATTTTATTCATTAATTTTAGTTTCTGTACGAAAAAAAAGATGGAAGAGCGAGAATATAACATGGACAAGCAGGAAGAGAGCCTCAGTTTCAGGAATACAATCAGAAATTTAATTGTAACTGGCTTTTTTAGATCTGTCTACCAGCTCTCAGCGAGGCTAGGAGGAGATAGGCTGGTAAACAACTTTTTGTGATGATTCGTCTCAACACCTGGAATACTCACTGACAATCCAAAAAAATAATAATAATAATTGTTGCTTCTGTTCAAATGCCTATACAAAAAGATCAACTTGCGTCACGGCGCCTTATCGTCAGCGTAAAATAATGCATCAACTAATGAATTGGGCTCAAAGCTGATCGGAACCATTATCAGTTGTCAAAGTAAAGCATGAGTTGCTTTTATAGCAAAAGGATATGCTGTGTCTGACTCATCCCCAGTCGTCTACGCGTGACGCACGCGACGGGAGCAGGGGGTGATGGGAAGGGAGAAGAGGCGAAGAGTCTCTCCTTCGCTTCCCACCTTCCCATCACACCCCGCGCGCCACGAGGAGAGATTGTTATAGGTCATATGCCGTGTTTTCTTACTTTTGCAAGTAGTTATATTGCCTGACCATGTCCCATTTGCTTCACATGACCGCACTCGTGACCCAACCAGTCGATGTCCCTCGTTACAAGCGATGTTAGCCTGAGAACCGTAGGCGGATCCACATGAAAGAGACGTTATGGTGCCATAGACTGGGGGTTGAAGGACCGGGCACGACCTTTCTTCGGAAAAAAAAAACAAAATACTTTAAACATATAACTTACTTACGCATGTAGCAGGTACTTTCCTGATGTATGTGGCAAAGACATGGAACCTAACATCGTCCAGAGAGAAATGATAAGATGTAGACTGAGTGTTGTATAAGGTTCCTTAGCGCAGCCTTTTTAAGTGTTTCATTAAGGGATCTTTGACGAAGTTTGAACTTTATAAAGACGCTCCATCAATCACTATGTCTTAAGAAGATCGAACACTTAAGTCCTGTTGGCATATATAAGGAGAAAAGTATGAGATTGGTACAATGCCTCAATGAAATTCATTTTAGTGGGGGAGGGGTGGGCAGGGGGATCCAAACCTCCCGCTTCTCGTACCTTACATTCCCAGCTCCTACCCCTTTATTCTTGCCTTCCTCCCTATTGCCCTCGTTTATAGATTACAAAATACTAAGGATTGTAGAGTAATTTATCCCCTCCCGCTTTTTCCTCTCTCCCTTCTCTTATCCCCTCTGCCCATATTCTCCGATATCTCGCCTCCCTGTCTTCCCTTCCCACATTTCCCAAAAGGTGATATTGCTGTTGCCAGGCGATCACTTACACACTATGAAATTTTTAAATATTTTGTTTGAGCGTGCCAGTGACCCGCTGTAGGAAAATTTATCTTTCCATCCATGATGGAGCAGTGTGAGCGGCGTGCTTTTTTGTGCGTAAAACAGGAGTCATAAGCAAGTTAAGCAACTACATCTCAATAATTTATATAAATGGCTTTATTGATAGGTATATTTACTTATGACTTGCACCACAAAGCTGCAGTTCGCTCTGTTTCCCTCGGCGTCTGCTGCAGAATAGTGAACATAGTGCAGACCAATACTTAGATTGGCTGGAGGACGCACTGCTGGGTAGCTTAAAGTCATGTGACCAGAGTTATCGCTTGCTATTGGTTCATTCCACGAGACCACAGTACTGGACGAACATTTAGGAACGGAAACCACTATGTTTCTTGGACAACTGCCTTTGAAAGAAGGAGGCGTATTGTCTGAAAACAACCAGATTTTGTTTCGACAAGGACCTTGTTAAATGTAACTATAATAATAAGATAAAAGGAGAAGGATGCGCATGGACAATTTTAAACGAAATTTATGTTCTCATTCCCTTTGTTGTTATGTCTTTTACTTCTTCTTAATTTATTTGAGTCAATGCAACAGAAAAACTGTGTTTAGTTGTCTGTAGATATTTTGATTAGATGGGATGGGTCCCTTTTGATTCTATAAATGTTTTACGAACATCAATTTTTAACCTCACCTACTATAGAGATAAATAATGGCAAAATAAATATAGGCAAGTTTTTATAGTGTAACACTTGAAGGAGAAAGTACTCGATACCTCGACAAAACGTGTCCTTGTTCCCAGTCCAGTCTCCGTTCTTGTCACATACCCTTGCAGAAGTGCCCTCAAGAACGTAGCCTGGAGTATTGCAGGATATACTACAGGTTTGGCCGTAAGTGCTTCTTGATAAACACGAACGTGGAGACACGGTACCATTCGCAGGAGGCGTGAGTGCACTACAGTTTACCACTGCAATATGTAATTTAAGAAAAAAAACATTTCCTTCATAGGCCGTTTTGAGATTGAGATTGAGACTGGGTCGATGTTGTGTGGAATTGCATTATGGGATTGTTTATTTAGTTTTTTTCTACTGTGCGGTTGCGCAGGAAACTGGATCAAAAATAGTCCGCAAAAGAGTCCCACAATGCAATTTTACACATCATCGTCCCAGTCTTCCAGCGCGACTTCAAAATGGCCGACGTAGCTTTACTTTATTAAGAAAACAAGAACGCGCCCACAGAGAAAGGATCGCAGTTAATAAATTTGCGACCCGCAATTTCCTTTCCTACTAAAGGCCGTGCAGCCGATTTGTGAGTACAGTGTCGTGAAATAGCGGTCACTGCTTTAGTATCAGAATGCCTTCTATGACAACCGCCATCACTGGGAAAGTTTCATATCTGAATCGACATGAACGCGTTAACTGAATATCCTACGAATGTATGAGTCAAAAATTTGAGGCACAACACCCGGAAGAAGGCATTTATGTCAATTCCACTCGGGGTTGAACCCCACCCCCACAACCTGACAAACAAAAAGGAAAAAAATTTATTCCAAAGACTTCACTGACATCGTTTAATTTAGTCAATTTAATAAGTCATGTTTATAAATACTAAGCTTAGTGTTCTTTCCACTTTTTACGAAAGAGTGGCATCTAATATTTACCTTGACAAGTTGGAGCCACCCCACTCCATGTTCCATTTTCCAGGCACTGTCTCCTTGACGAGCCGGTCAAATTGTACCCAACATTACAAGAGAAGCTACAAATTGCGCTATAGCGTTCGGAAACTAGGTTGAGACAGCCACGTTTTTCTCCATTGATTAGATCAGGATGAGACTGGCAGGTAATTTCTAGTGAAGAAATAAATGTTAAACACTCGTCTGATACTTTTGAAAAAAGCATTATACAGGGCACTAGTTTATGGAGTAAACCGAACAGGGTACTGGAAAAGGTGACGTAAATCAAGTTTAAGTGGATGTCGAGCTACCCTTCGAGTTTTACGAAGTCGTTCGCGTGGCTTATCATTCGAAGAACTTCGTTCATGCTAAAGGCCTTGAAAGCCGGAAAGCAATTTCTACTCGCAGGGTAATATGGAACTTCTAGAGCTTCCATATTCAAATAGAGATGAAAAGCGTGACATCAGCATCCTACCCTGAAAACGTTTTAAGTGGTTTTCAAGTGTGTATTGCTTCCATATTGAAATAGAGATGAAAAGCACGACATGAATATTGTACCGTGAAAACGTACCCTGGCATACAGGAATAGGGCTGTCCCAGACTCCCGGAGGGCTGTTACCAGGGGCATTGCATGTCACCGTTGAAGACCCATTCAAACGGTATCCAACGGAACAGGAGAAGTTACACTTTGAACCATAATGATCACCACAACTGTCCATTTGTAAAGGACCTCCAGGACTAACTCGTAGAGATGTGCAGTTGATCACTGACCAATAAAAGATACAAAAGGGATATCACTATTAATTATTGCTGTTGATAAGTAATGGTAACAGGAATGAGTGGAGTCCAATTCGGTCTGTAATCATACAAGTGATTAACAAAATCGGACGACCGCGTAGCGGGAGTCCGATTTGTTTAATCACGAGTATGATTACAGACCGAATTGGACGACACGAAGTTCTGTTACCAATTAATCATAACTTTAACAAAATTTGTGATATATTTGGTTCTTTTTTTTAAAATCAAAACACAAGAAATTCCGAGATTTTTTTGCTAGCAGTGAAGAAAAAGTTATTTAAGCGCGCGCGTGATGGCGCGTACTATTCAATTACTTAGGCATGACGCGTACTGTCCTATTAAGGCTGAAATCAGGACAGTTGACAGCCAATCACATTTGAGAATGTTGTTATAGATATGATTAAGACCTAAAATAAGACAAAATGGAAGTCAAACAAAACGTTAACTAAGCGGTTATTCAAAGATAAGAGCCCCTCAGTTAATCCAATCACAGATATAGCACGTAAATCCAAAGTTTTAACTTCGAGCGGTCTGAAATACCCGAGGATTAAACCTCAGAAAGTGCAGTGGCCTCTGTGCTGTCGGGCAAAGTACAATTAAACGGAGATAATTAATATTATTGGATACAGTCTTTGCTACCTAAAATGATGACTGAAAACGTGCAGGTGACTTTGTTTCCTGATTGGTCCACAGCTGTGTATGTGATCACGTGAGTTCCTTGACTGAACCTCGTTGGCGACTGGTAATTTGACGTCACTGTTATTGAAACTCCTGAGTTGTCAGTGGCAAGCGGCTGCGTCCAGTTCACCAAGGCAGATAACATTTCTCTCTCGGCATACGCTGTCAATTGTTTTGCCGGGCATGTGGCACCAAAGTCTGGGGGTTGAGTGTCTTAAGAAAGAAGAAACAAATTGCCTAAATTAAAATAAATACTATTAGAGCAGGCCATGACAACATATCAATCATCAAACAAGCTAACGAAAGAATGAGATCATACTATGAATTATAAAATAAGAAAACTGTACTGTCCTTTCATTGTGGGAAATCGGAAAACATTCCTGGAATAGGATGGTTTTTAAACTGGCATGGGCTTCCAAGTAAACTAGTTTAGCGGTTGCTTTAGTTTGACTGTCCTTTGTTGAGCTAAGAACTTTGATCCAGGCAAAATTGCCTAGCATTACATTCTGTTATAAATAACCTGTGCAGTTTATGTCATTTCCACTCCATTGACCGTTCAGCAAACAAGTTCTTGTGACTTTTCCGGTGAAGCTGGTATAACCACTTTGGCAGGAATATCGGCAACTTGATCCATAAGTACTCCCACAGGAAGGAGTCAGTAGAAGCGCTTTAGGTGGGGTCGACAGAGGTGGACAAATGATAGCTGACATGCAAGGAAAACACATTTTAGTTTCTTACTTGTAATACTTAAACCTTAATGTCATCTTTTGCACTGCGAAATAATACCCAATTGAAAGCCCGAAGGAATCCTCTTTTTCAAATTTATGCCAATCTTCTCCACCCAAACCATACTTAAACATTTGTTCACAATACGACATCGCTATTATACCTCGTTTATTTTCATTTATCCATTTTACCAAACTAATATTTTAAAGTTTTCTCCAATAGCGAAATCATGTTCAGTGCTGGAAATGATAACATAAAATGTCGTTATAACAGTTTCTTTCACATATCATACCAATTTGTCTTGAACGTTTATACCTGTATCTAATTGTTTGGCCACATAGAGAACAATTTAAACTAGTCTGATTAGTTAACCAAAGGTTAGGCTGGGAGGGCGGGCTAGTGGGTGTTTAGAAGCCCAAGCGAATGTTGGCTACATACGTGTCGTAAATGCGTGGTGGCAATCTGTAGATTAGGACTGCATGCGGGCTCCTTTGGTTGCTTGCATACTTAAATCTTTGTTAAAACAATGAACGTCCATTAACGAAGCCAAATTTCCGGAGTGATTAATTCAACGAAAGCTTATGCCGAATACGCTAATAATATTCTTACCTTGGCAAACAAAATCTTGGCCACTCCAACTTCCGTTCTGAAGACATGTCCTAGATGAGGAGCCCACGCTCACAAAACCGGGATGACAGGAAAACTGGCAAACAGTGTTATAGATTTCTGTTGATGCGCCTGAGCATCCCTGACGGGTACCATTGGAAGGTGTTGGTAGGGAGGGACACGTGACAACTGAACAAGGAAATACGTATTGCACATTTATCCAGCAGGTAAGTAGCCTGTGAGCCCGGGGGGGGGGGGACTTTAGGAATTTTGGGGGACCGTGGAACCCCCCCTATCCTAGAGTAGCTGTTTTCCAGGAACTACTGAGGTTACTAGTACAGTCTAGCCAAAACAAAACCGATTTGATCTTTTTTATATTTTTGATGGAAATTCCCGGTTTTCCTAGTCTAGACTAAAAACTTCAACCAATTAAACTGTTTCCTGGCAAAATGATGCCCTATTCTAGACCCAAACTTTCTGGTTTATATACTCTATCCCAGATTAAACTGCTTGAAAACCCTTCACAGCCACACAGTCATTTCTATTTGCTCTTAACCAAGCTAGAGAAACGTGGGAGACACTTGATAGCATGGCGTAAAAAGCAGTACAAAGATTAGGTGCCCTCCGCCTCCCTCGCCTTTTCTAATTTTTTTATTGTTTCATTTTACCCCATCCCCTTGGGCCTTTCCAGCACTTCTTTCTTTAGCCTAAGAGGAAATGGAAACCGCTGCCAGTTATGCGGGCTATCTATCGGGTTAACACATATTTTTTCTACCCATTTTGCAGAATTCAGAAATCTCTGTAAAGACGCTTTTATATCATTTTTTCACTTCGATCATTGTTACGCAATTAACGTAGATGTTGTTGAATGTATTGCAAAGTGTTAAGCTCATAGCCATCGCTTGTTTCAATTTTACTGCTTCTTGAATGGCTCCTAACCTTCTACTCTGTAAATTATGTTACCTCGACTTACCAGTGCAGTGCGTTTCTACTCCAGTCCAACTACCATCGCCTTGGCAAGTCCTGGTGCTTACACCGCTCAGCAAATATCCCTGGTCACATGAGAATACACAGGATTGCCCCGGTAAATTGGAACAAGGCAGCAAACTACCATGCACAGGTGCAAACAGTTGGGGACAGCGGTTCACTATTTAATGAAGAAAGGAAAACCCTTTGTTAAATTCCAACTCAAAAGACCCTTCTCATTGTTCATCACCTGTGATCGACGGGCCTCCTTTCTGAGTACTGGATGTACGTCTCAACGCGTCAGAGGTTGAAACACTGCCTTCCTTGTAATATCCAGACTAACAATATTCAAGCATGCTTTCAAGGAAAAGCGGAGTAAATATCTGATATTAGTGAAATCCAGCTAGTGGTCTATTATAAATGCTGCGTTCTGATTAGTTAAGCTACTACTAGGCTATATGTTATAGCCCCCTAGTAGCGAAAAGTGCGGGCTTTTTGGCGGCAAAAAAGTATTAAAGTCTGACCTAAAAGTCTAGCTTTTAACTAGGTAAAATTTTTTTATTCTCGATATTTTTGACCAAGTAGTTAGAATTTACAAAAACAATTATTCCTCTCGCCCACATGACCTCTGAGTCAATAGCCCATTCGGCCTTCGGCCTCATCGGCTATTGACTCGAGGAATAATTGTTAAAGAGTGCAAACAATAGGTCATATTCCCAGTTGGGTCAAGCCTCTGTTTCAAAGCGAGGCCAGGTGCGAACCCATTGATATGAAACTGAGTTTTTATTCTCATACAAATGAAACTCATTTTTACAAGAAAGGTTTTGCATTTAGCCTCGATTTAGAAGTGAGAGTCTTTGGAACTCGGAAATGGCCTATCTAGACTGCCATTTTCAGTACCAGGGTCCCCGGAAACGCGTACTCAACCTTTTTGCCGGGAAGGACTGTTTCAATATCCACGAATTTACTCAGAGGGCGAATGTAGCGGACAGAACAATATTTTGTTGTTTTTTTTTTTCCTCGATTCTCAACTCCCAATGTTACAGAATTGTCAGCAACTAAAAAGCTTACAGTCATGTTATTACTATAAAAGCACTCACATGAAACTAGAGAACCGAGATTAGAGATAACGACACTTTCAATATAATTCCACCGTGGTAGAATTAAATGAACATAGCCCATGCACTCAAGACAAACTGCATGTTAATTAAGTCTATCACAGTGTTTTAAGATTGCGTAAAAAAAAAAGAATTAGATAAATAAGAAAACCTAAAAAACACAAGTCTTTTTCGAGATCATAATTCCTACCTCCTTGACAGGTCGATGAGTCACCAGGTATCAAATGCACTCCTTCCGGGCAGAAACACTGATGACCGTTCGGGTTTGGCAGGCAAATGTGGCTGCATCCTCCATTTAAATGAGAACAGCTGGTAGTTCCTGTGTGGGCAACATGTAGACGGGCGTGTATTCAGGGTAAAAAAAATAGTGGCCATTGAACCGGCTTGAATTTTTTACAGTGAAGAGAAGGCTTGGTCAAACTTGGACAACAGCGAAAAAATGTCAACTTTTTGGGAAAGGAAAATGAAAATGAAAAATGAAAAGGAAAATTCTTCCCTGGGAAATAAAGAATATATAGCTATGAATATCGCGAAATCTTTGAAGCGAGTTTTTGTCTTTTACATTGACAGGTTTTTCATTACGGTAAAGCAGCTAGCTTTATCAAACAAGTGCTAACTTCATCGAGTTAACTGAATTATTAGAAATGGCATGTGTTTGTTTGTTTGTTTATTTGTTTTCTCCTTTTTAAATGAAATTTTCAAATAAAAATTTATAAATTAAAAAAAAATGAATGAATTCACAACAGCAAAATTTCTAAGGAACACCCACCCGAAGTTATGATACTATAGTCATAGAAGTGGATTTCCATAGGTGTTCCCATTCCAAGAACCAAGACATCGGAGAGGGAAGACGTCATATTATATCTATGAACACTTTTTGTAGTCCAGTCTGTCCAGAAAAGCAGGTCCTCATATAAGGCGAGTCCGAAAGGGTGATAACTATCGTTATTGGATGACAAATCCAGTATCAGCACCCGGTTATTTCCTTGAAGGTCCACTCTTTCGATTCTGTCGAGTTGAGCATCACACCAGTACAGCAGCCTATTTTTGAAATCCAAAGCGAGGGAGTTCACCCAAGACAAACCAGAACTAACCAGAACGGTTCTAGCTGTGCCATCCATGTTCGCTTGTTCGATCTTTGGTGAGGATCCCCAATCGCTCCAGTACATCTTTCTATAATAAAAATCCAGACAGAAAAGAGAGATCAAAAGAGAGATAAAGAATAAAGCGAACCTGTCTTAAAACGACATTGAGAAACAGGTTTTTCTTTTATATTGATTTCTGCGGCCATTAGTTACGGATTTTAGAGTAGAGAATATTGTAGGGTGCCTAGAACAATATTTATCCACCACTTCGATCAAAATTAACTAGATTACTTGTCATCGATGTCTAATATCACAGCCCTAGGTTTGTCAACGTCTATTTCTGTTATTTGGCTTGTTCTGTACGATCCGTCAATATTAAACTGACTGGGCACTGCATGCTGTGAAAATTTGTTATAAGTTTGTTAAAATCATGACTTTCACTTGCAAGCACAGCCTTTGCTATTTTATGAGGCCTGTAGGAGCTCAAGTCAAATGGATTTTCGGATAAATAGCAAAGCCCACTTTTTTTAGTGATTTTTCAAGACAAGGGGACAAAACAGACAGTGCAGGTGTTTCAAACAAGTTTCAAGTGCTTCCTCACAAAACCGGAACATCTTTTTATCATGTTTCCATTGACTCAAATATACCTTTTAAGTTGTATTCCTCATTATTTGATCTTTATTACCTTGCATCGATGTCCAGTATCACAGCTCTAGGATTTTCCAAGCCAGATGTAAAGAGGCTAAATCTGTATGATCCGTCCAATCGTGACACTTCAATCTTACTAGTTTGATCATCAGTCCAATAAACATTCCGCCCAATCCAGTCAACTGCTATTCCATCAGGATTTTCCACATTACTCTCCGCTATTACTTCAAGATCCGAACCATTGGGATAAGATCTAACAATCTGCTTCAATACCACGTCAGTCCAGTAAACCTTGCCTTCAATAGGGTCATAATCAACTGCAACTGGTCTGGATATGTTGGTTTTGATCCCTAGAGGAAAGCAAGGAGTGTCTGGTACAGCCAAAGGAACTTTGTAAATTTCCCCGCTATTTGCTTCAGCAAAAAGCATGAACTTGTCGGAGCTTAGGTTCCTAAATAAATCTGAAAAAAAGAAGTGAAGGTCGGACAATCACAGGAGAATTAGTATCCTGAAATTTTCAGCATATCCATGACTATTTCTTTCCTACATTTTGCAGAACAAAAAGCAGTTAAGGAAACATGTGCTACAAGCGCACTACCAAAACCAATCATATGCTCTTACCATAATTACAGTTTTTCCCATCAGGTTTGAGGACTACTCCTGTTGGACATGCGCACTGGTGACCTCCTTGAGGCGTAAGCAAGCACAAGTCACTGCAGTTTCCATTGTTAATTGTGCACGGATGGGACCCTAATAAAGTTAGAGTTAATTAGGTGCCACCAGAATTCAGACTAGATATAAAAAAAAGTTCGAATTTATCTTTTTATAAAGTACCACCATATTTAATTGAAAAAAAGTTGTAAACACCGTTTAAAATAGTATGAGGTGCCGTTTCATTATAATAGTAGGGAGCTTTAGCAACGAGGACGTCAAAAACGCAATAGGCTTATATTAGCAGAACAACAACTTATCACGCTTTTTTGTACATTTCTTTACCGTCCTTGCACGACTACGACGTGAAAATGCCTAATTGCAAGTTTTATGGAGGACGTAAACAAGCGACGACGAATCTCTATTTCTCTCTCTAAGCTTGAGGGCGGTCCTCAAGAAATCAACTCCAGAGAAATTCGCCTACATTGTCATTTTCAGCAAATTGGAATAAACGCCACAAAGATTGAAAAAACGGGAATTCATTTTAAAACTGACGTTTTCGCTGCCGTTGCCGTCGTCGCTGCTAAAGCTCCGTGGTTGCTAGTGACGGGTTTTATTAAGTAAAATGATTTACCTGAAAACACCCGAGACGAATCGTACAGGTGAATATCCATTGGCTTTTGGAGACCTTGAATAATCAATTCCGTGTTCCCATTGTTTAAATCGTACCGCGAAATGCTTTTATTGTTCCAGTCAGTCCAGTACAAAATGCTCTTATACACCGTCAAACCAAACGGGTGAATATCTGCAGTAGATAGCATAATAACTCTTTTGTTATCACCGTTAAGGTTAGAAACCTCTATTTTGTCCAGTTTAGCATCCGCCCAGTACAGAAGGTTTGTAGTTTGATCAATAGTTAATCCATTCGGCCAACCAAGGTTTCCTGTTACAATGGTTCGTCTCGATGAGCCGTCCATGGCTGCTTGTTCAATCATTGGATTGGATCCCCAGTCGGACCAATACATCGTTCTTTATCAGAAAAAAAAACACAAATTAGCAATATCAAATTTTAGTTCTACGGAAAAAAAAGTTAAACTTTATTGTTTTGATAACGCTAACTTTGACATCTCGTGTACCTAAGATGATTTGGCTTTAACTTAAAGGAAGCCGTATACTTACTTCCTACGCAACGCTCCTCCCCTCGTGACATAGCCCTATTAAGATCTGTATTGAAAAGCGTTGTTTGACGAGACAAAAACGGCTGCGAGGAAGATCGGCTATATCGCGATACTTCCTTTCGATTTATAACTCACCCATTTCTTTCATCAAGTACAATTGCCCTGGGTTCATCAAGTCCATCTTTGATCAACAATTTCCTGCTTGTTCCATCCAGCCGAGCAACTTCAATACGATTTGTTCCTGCGTCTGCCCAGTAAATATTTTGCCCCACGTGGTCAATGGCCAGGCCATCTGGTACCTTTACATTGCAGCGAAAAGGGATCCTCAGTGAAGTCGCATTAGAGATAGCACTGATAATTAGACCTTGTGCAACATCAGTCCAGTATACACTGTCCTCAACAGGGTCGTAGTCCACAGCAATCGGGCGTTGATTGCCGTGATGGAAGAACAAACGTCGCGCAACAAAATAGTTCACATCCAACGAAATAATATTAGTAGACTTAGCATCGGCGTCCGTAAAAACAAGGAACTTGTCCATTTCTGCAAAGTGTAACACACTTAAAATGACTTATTTGTACAGTAAAACATGACGATTTATGCCAGAAAAAGGTAATAGATTGGGCAAGGTCATATTTAGTCTACACAGCCGTTTCTAGTGTCGTCACGCAACGTTCCTCCCCACTAGTGGGGAGGAGAGTTGCGTGACGACATTGAAAACGGCTGTGTAGCAGACTAGGTCATGTTATGTTATCCCAATGTTTCTATAGGGGTTCCGTGACACTATTTTGTAATTAAAGGTTATCGAGCCAATGATTAGAGGGCTCTGGCTGAGAAACGTTTTGGAGGTTAGGATAGCTGGTCGCTGATCATGGAGGTGATCTCTTCGGAGGGCTGGCTGCACATAAAGGTTCCGTCGACTGTATTTTAAATCTACTTTTTTCTCTCTGGGGAAAATATTTACCTTAAAGAGACTGAGGGGTGTTGCTCAAGTATTTAGCATGAATATAGAAAGGAGAGAATACAGAATGTATTTCCTCTGTAGTCAAAGCAGCTGTCTTACTCTTGTTGCATGTTTTTCCATCTGCCTTCAATGACAAACCAACTGGACAGACACACTCGTGGCCGCCAGAAGTCTTCACCACGCAAAAATGACTGCAGCCGCCGTTGTTTGTTGCGCAAGAACTGGAAACTTTAAAACAAAAACATGAAAACCAACATTCATCATCATCATACATTCATTGACCTAAAAGTGACTAAACAACCCGTCGAACCGGTTAAACCACCTGAAAAAAGCACGTCAACGTAAAGTTATCTTAGTGAGATTCCACTGCATTTTATTCATGAGATAAAGGTAAAAGACTAAGAAATCATCGACGTAAACGTGTTACTCTGCAAAGTAATAATGAGATTACTCGGCAAAAAAAATTGCAGTACTAGTGCGCCCTATACCACTATTTTACGGCATACCTGGAGGTTGCCTGGAACTGTCGTAAGCCACAATGCCCATGGGCCTACCAGTGAAGCGGACACCGCTGACAACAAAATACCCGGTCTCCGCGTCAACTTGGTGAATCTGACCGTTTGAAGCCCAGTCAGTGAAAAAGAGAAAAGGAGGAATAATGGCTACTCCAAAACCATGAAAATTTGTTGCAGTCGCAAGTAGTTTTCTGTCATTGCCATCATAATCGACGGATTCCAATTGATCAACGGCTCCATCTACCCAATAAATACGATTATTCCATCTGTCAAGCTCGATCCCATTCGGCCACTGGATGTTTGACGTTACTATAGCAACTCTCTGATTTCCTGTTAAGGATGCTTTTTCGATTTTGGGGCTGGAACCCCAGTCTGTCCAAATCATCAGCCTGTCAATAAATAAAAAAGTATTCGGCTTCTATGTCATAAAAATGTTACGTAATACTGCATGTTATAAAGACAGAAAAAAGGCATCTAAAAGTATTTGTCTTTGTTCTTTTCTTTTCATTGTTAATATTGTCAATCAGTTTTAAAAACGTCACTAAAATTTTGCAATTTATTTCAGGTTAAAACCCTTTATTTTAAAGTGGTAATAAATTCGAGACTAGCCTACAACAGGCTAATATGTGGAGAGGGGCGAAAAAGGAAAATCGGCGAGCGAAGCGAGCCGAGCGTGGCCTGGAGGAGAAGAAGAGGCTTTTATTCGCCTATGCGGCGGCTATGCGGCGGTGGGAGTTTTTTAGGCTCTCCTAGGCCACGCTCGGCTCGCTTCGCTCGCCGATTTTGTTTTTCGCCCCTTTCCACTAGCGACCCGTTCGAAGGCTATTTCGAATCTTGATAAACAAAGGACACACGCGAGAAAATACCTAAAATGAAATAAAATAAAACTATGCGGTCACTCACCCCTTATCAGGATCTAAAGCGATATCTCTAGGTTCGATAAGTCCCAAGGATAGCACTGTTTGCTGGTTATTACCCGATAGGTCAGATTTTGATATCGTATCGTGAGTAGTATCAGTCCAGTACAATTCTGATGCTGACCATTCAACTGCCAATCCATCGCATACACCAAAATTGGTGATAATTGTCGTGATACTGGACCCGTCAATACCAGAACGTTTAATGTTGCGCTCAGACACATCACTCCAAAATATATATCCCATGCTAAAATGAACATCAAGTGCCACAGCTCTTGTTAATCCACTGACCACAGAATGTACTGCAGACGTTTTGTAGTCGACGGCGATGATATCCGTAGTGTTTGAAAACAGAAGACATGGAGGGGGACATATGGCTGCTGCAACACAAAAGTATCAGCATTGACCATGCTACATTACTAGGGAGCGAGTTAGCCTGCAAACAAAAACTGGTATTAAACTTGCCGTGGAATCAGGGTACTTGCCTAACACTAGTGCAATATGTTTAATGTAATTGCAGTTCAGTTTTAATGTAATCATCTGCCAAATATAAACTTGGCTATGTCATTTTGACATCAACTGAATTCCAAAAATAATCGGCCAGTTTTGTTATTAAGACTATGTTTAGGTATTGAAAGTGTTTTATGACTTCCGTCGCTACGTATGGCAAGGATGGACATGGACTGAAATTCCAATTT